CTTACAGACATGTATAAAAATCAGAACAAAACACCTGGTACAATTACTATGGCAGGAGTGCTTTTGTCTCAAAAACATTCTTTTACTTACTGCATCATACAGGTAGCAAACTTGGAATAGAATAATTTAGTTTCAGAGTATCTTACCTCTCTTTAAAGAATTTTGTTGAATGTTTATACTAGGTACAGACAGACACCTCTCTGCACATTTCTAACAGAAAAAAAATATGGGAAAGTTCTGAATCAAAGTGTTATAAAACAAATGAGATAACAACGAATAAAGAACCACTGATAATCATGAATAATGACATTATTCATTATGTCCAGATTTTTCCAAATACTGAAAGTTTTCAGTATATTTCCAAGTATCTTTTTTTTTTTATCTCTACTTATTATTTCCAGATTTTTCTGAACATCAAGAGGGTTTTTTTCAGCATACTTGTAAAATGGTTTTTTTTTTAAACTGAAGTAAGGAGGAAATACTGATGATACTGAACTCTCAGCACTTGCCTTAGCTTGAGGGGTTTGGTGGTGGTGGTTTTTTGTTTAAGAATTTAAGAATATTGTTAAATTCTTTCCAATCCCTGCAGACTACACTGATTTATGGTATTTCAGTGAATAAACAGGACATTACTTAGCTATTACACATTATTCCCTACCTTGCATTTTTTCATCAAGACAGCTGAATTTTACTTTGTGCATGACTGACTCAGGAGAGAAAAAATTGACATGCATTCCAAGTGGTCCGTACGCAGAACAGAAGTAATCCTACATCCTAATATACGAACATTATCTGACTCATGAGTGCATTTCCCTTCAAAAGGTTTCTCTCTCTTCAAAAGGAGATAAACAACTTAAACCCAGAAAGAATAACTCACATTTCGGCTTTCTTTCTTGTGTTTAAAAGCCTTATAGTTTTCAACGTTATAATAAACATTTCTACAACTGAAATAGCATTTATATGTAGTAATATTATTCCTTTCTCAAGGATATTTCAAAAGAGGCACAACATGAGAAAGACTCCTAAATGGTATAAAATCTGAAGCAAGAACAGAGTAAGCAGTGCTTTGATATTCAGTACAATCAATCTTTCCTCACCACACACAACTCACTTGGTGCCACCAATTCCCATTCTGATTTGAATTCTTATGGTAGAAGCAAGAGACAGGAAATAATGATAGAATTTAACTTCTCATATTGATGTCCTTCCAACCCACTACACACAAGCAGAGATTAAAACCCATTGTGTGTTCTCATTTTAATTTCTCGACACACTGTTTTATCTGTGCAGTTTCTAATGCAGTTATATTTGAACTCAGATGGGGTTATCACAATTTAGTGAGTCACTGCGTATGTGCTGAGCTGTAGTAATATGCCAGACAGGCAGAGCAAATGCTTTTACCCAAATCTCCTTCTAATTATTTGAATGGGTTGGAACACCTTGTAAATACAAGGTAGGCTACCACATGACTGTTGCCAGACAGTAACTCATTAAGATATACTTAAGATATGCAACTTGACCACTTGTCTAGATCATTAATCTGAAACTGTATTAATCCATTGCAGCTCATGGTATCCCTACGTCACGGTTTAGGCTGCACTGGCCACGAAACACTCTACGGATGCTCTCTTTAACCTCTCTCTCCCTTCCCAGAAGAGAAGGGAGAGAGACTTATGGGTTGAAAAGAAAACTAAAACTACTTTCATGAAATATTAATAATAAAAGAAAGATACTAACATCAATAAGAAAAAATGAAATATATACTATATATATATATATATTTAAAACCAGTATTGAGCTCCCAGGATGATAATCATGTCACTGGCAGGCACTGGGAAAGTCCCAGACTGGATTCAGTGATGAATGGGAACTGGATTCAGGAACACATGGGTAAAAATCAAAGGGAGAAGAACAGACATAGTCCTCCTCAGATGCTGGCCACTGAAGAAGACAAGTAACCTCTTTGATCCCTCAGCTTTTATACTGAGCACGATACAAATGGAATGGAATACCCTGTTGGTCAGTTTTGGGTCACCTGTCTTGTCTGCTCATCCACGCAGGTGGGACCCCTTTACTCCTGCCTCTGGCCCTCCAAAGTGGCACACAACAAAGTTGACCTTGATTGTTATAGCAATAAGTTTAAGCAAGAGCTTCTCTGCCTACCATTCCTTGGCATTAACCACAAACATCAGGCCTTATCAGTGCCAGAAGCAGGCACTGGCTGAAAAATGCACTGTTAATTTCAGAAAGTACAGTTAGTTAGAAGAGACTTAACTGAAAAGTAAAATTACTAAAAAGAAAATTGGCTCTGTTCTGTCTCAAACCAGGACACTTTATTATACTGTACAGACATTTTTTTTGCTAAGTGTTTTGTCACTAGCACCAGATAGCCATGTAGTTGAGCATATGACAACAACAATGGCTTCAAAAAAATTAAGACCATACCTAAATATATGATGGATGAATGCAAATCAAAACATGCCCGCTAGATAGGGAGAGAGAGAAGGCAAAAAAAAAAAAAAAAGAAAAAAAATCACCAAACCTATCTGTGACAAGGCGATCCACCACACAAATGCTCTCTGTATTCAATCACATGTACCAAAAGCACATCGGAACAGAAATGCATTATGAAAGCAGAGCTGGTTCTCTAATTTAGCAAGTTTAGCAATTACCAATTTTAGCAATTGCAAAAAGATGGGAAGAAAATCCAAAACAACTGAAAGGTCAGTTTGATTACTACCTTACACTAAAAAGACTTCAGAAATATGTAGCTGCCATTAGTTCCCCACTAAAGGAAGTCAACTGCAGTAAAGAGCAATGACTGCAGAGTGGCAGTGTTAAAATTAAGAACAATTCTTCAGATTATATAAATGAACACAGTTCTAGCTTCTATCAATGGAAGAACACATTAAATGCCCAAGAATATTACTGAATGATTCATTGAAGACATCCTCCATTTACAAGTACCTCTCCCAAAAAAAAAAAACAAACAAAAAAATCAAAACCAAGGAAGCATTTAGGTACACAGCAGCCATCTGGCAAAACAATGACAAATGACAGGATTAGCATCTAGATATAGTTCTATTAAAAAGACAACTCCTCCACTGTTGGAATAATCTCATAAAAGCCCTTTCATTAAATCACTTTTTTATACTAACTGATTCCTTTTCAATGGAATTTAAACTCATTATGTTAAATTAGTACTATTACATTTGCAATAAAATAAACATATGTACTGTTTTTATTCTTGCCTACCAGGTAAATCACCCTTTAAAAATATTACAGTTCTATCTGTTGCAGAGTACTTAAGCATTGGTGGTGGTTACTCTCTTTTTAGTTGGATGGTTTGGTCCCTGAAGAGCACACAAATATAAGTAAAATCTTTAACTTTTTGATGTTTTTCCACTTGTAAGTGCTTATACTTTCTCTCACAGTAATTGTCCTAGTATTTGGAGAAATGATGCAATTGCAACAAAGACATTGTCCTGTCTTCAGCACAGAAGACTAACAAAACCATTAAAAGCTGCTGCAAGAAATCCTGAGGCATTCAGAGAAAAAAAAGTGACATAAGGTTTAGTGTCATTACCAATTGTGTATTTGAGGATCAGATTTCAACTGGTGCCTCCAGTTTTCCTGTTTTCTGACAGTTGTCTTTTATACAGCAAGAATCTTTTATCGCAGAGGGGGACATGCAACTCATCCTACCACCTTTTCTACCAGGTATATACAGAGAGATTTAGCAGATTAGCCAAAGGTTTTATCAAAACATACAGGTTTTTGGAACAGATGATATTTTCTTTCATTAAAAGCACCAGCACAGTTCCCTAACATCATCCTTTTTCTCTGTGGAGGTTCAGTGTATGTCCTTACTTATACAGAGAGGAAGATGGGAGTTGAAGAACTCCAAGTTTGAGTGAAACCACATATAACTTTCCAGGTTTGATCATACAGGTGGCAACTATCGAATTTGCTTCTGCTCTGCAAATTAAAAGCAACTGTCAGCTGAAATTATAGCAGCGTATACATGGCATAATATTACAGCAGGTTTAAATCCATCTCAGGCCTTTCTGAAAGGGTACAAATGGATTCTTAGTCATCATATCTTCAGAAAGGGCGAGATTATGGTCCTGCTACTTCAGTGAAGATGCGTGAGAACAGCTCTGCAACAGTTACGTCCATTTTTTAAGATCTCAGACCCACCAGCTGCAAATACACGTCCTTGTTTATGAACAGCAGAACAAGTTAGCATCAGCCTGAGGAAACTCTGCTGGGCCTTGTGTCCTTTTTTTAGGTTGACAGTTAATTTGGTTAGCAAACTTTTGGCTGCTAGATTGGAGCATTGAGGGAAGGGCCAGCATACTCTTGTTTCATTTCCAATAGTGACAGCAGATTTGCTATAAAACATTCAATTGCACAAAAGAGCCTAATGTTTTAGAAATTGAAATTGCTTTTTTTTTTTTTAAAAAAAAAAGCACTTTACTTTTTATTTTAAAAAAATCCAACCAAACACACACGGGATATGCAACAAAAAATCAGCAGTGACACAACTCTTGCCATTTTATAGCTGCTGAGTGCCCACTGACTTTGGTAGCTTCACAGCAGGTCAGAGAACATACTTGCACATCTCAAAGGGTCAATGCAGGCAGAATAATTCTACATCTTCATTTACAGGCTTAGCAGAGAGCCAACAATCAAGAGACTTTGGGACTGAGCTACTGTTTCCTTACCAAAGGTGGTGTCTCAAAGTCTAACTTCAAGCAAAAGGAAATCTTGACTGGTCACTAGTCTGTGCAGCATGAATTTTAGCATCTCCTATTCTGGCATTCATCACACCCAGTCCATTTGTTAAAATATTTATAGTACTTCAAGGGATCCCAGTCACCATCAGCAGTCAATAAGAAAGTAGACAGAAGGCAGCTGATCATGCTTGTTACACTGGCTAACCACCCAACACCGAAATGTTTCCATTTCTTGATTAGGCAAGGTTATACAAGTCAAACTAGAACCAAATCAGCCATAACTTTATTATCTTTAAAAGTAACATTAAGAAACAACCCTATTGCTGTAGTGTAGGTCTCCTACTGTCTCTCTAGTATAGAGCACAAGTGCTTATACATAACGATTGTTTGCATGAACGAATTAATGTACTTAAGTGAATAAAGAAAATAAATAAATTATTTTTAAGGAAATCACTACCTTAATAAAGTCACAGAAGTCAACAATATAGTTGTTCTTTTTTTTTCTCTTAACAGAGTACTGTGAAACTACACAAATTTGCTGTGGTTTGTAACATGCAATGCAATGACACTGGAGTCCCAACATCATGTCATTTCATTTTTTTATATACAGAGAGTAGAAGGTTTGGCCCTAAAGTTACTTCAGGGAACCGGAAAGATCAGGCACAGGCATTCAATTTTTATATGAATACTTATTGTTAGACAAACAGCATCAGATATGCATTGTTTCCAAAACAGCTGAATGTTACATGCATTCAGTAAAAGCAGACACCAGCTCAGCTGTGCCGATAATTGGGACACTTATTCACAGGGCAATGCATGACACGAGTACCCAGCCTCAAATCAGAAAGTCAGAGCATGGGAAAACAGAACAAAGAGGAATTTAAAGACATTTCATAACAGATATTATATGTGATTTTCTTAATACCTTAACTGCCATATTGTTCAGATCTGTGACTTCCTGCTTTTACCTACTAGAACACATTTAAGTGAAATATTTTCTGAAAAAAGTATTTCTGCATTTAACAAAATCTGTCAAAACCTGTTATTTACCTGTTATTTAATAACCCTCTAACAAATCTGAAGGGAATAGCACATATGCTGTTTTACTAGGCATAAAAGTCAGTGGAGCTTACATAAGGTAAGGCATTTTCACAGTATGGCTCTCACAAGAGTCAATTTATTTACCATAGTAACAGTTATCTATAAAGAAAAACATTCCTAAAAATAATTTCAATATACCCAGAACCAGAAACAGATTAACCATGTGACGTTGAACAAAGACATTCATTTATATCAACATCTCTTCAATCCCTTACAAACCAATAAAAAAAAAAATCATGCAATTGAACTTGTTACTGAAAAGCTTACAGGAACAGTCCTGCTTGTTGGTATCAATTTTAAGCATCAGAAGTTTAGTGTGGTTTTTGTTGTTTCATTTTGTTTTGGTTTTGTTTTTTTTTTTTTAAAGCAAGAAGATGAGTGACCAAAGTAAGTCAGTAATTTGTTCCATACCAGTTATTTACTTTTTTGGTGCTTATATAAAGCACCAAATTGACTATGAAATACTCCTTGGTTTCTTCCAACCATACCAACTCAACACAGACTTTACCCTCTGAATCTGCATAGTCTGTGGTATAGATATGACCCATGTAGTCATAAAGGCTGGAGGCCTTGGAAGACAGTTCCATGTGGACTGGGGCACTAAAACACCAGAACGGCTTTCCAGTTTCATCCAAGAGAGTAACATCCATCACGTAGCAGTCCTACAAACACAAGCAGAAGATGTCAATTCCCTATGCCATGACACAGTAACTAGGTCTGTCCCTGATTTTAGGAGAAGTATCAAGGGTTCAGAGAGCAATTTTTGGTAGGAAGGCTAAAAACTCAAGATGTAATTGGCTCCACTGACTACTGCAAAGCAACAAATACATATTTAGAGAACAAAATTGCGACCTACAGACAGACATCAAAAACTGTACTACACAAGGTAGCACTGCCAACCTAAATCAGACAACATTTCTTGAACACTTTTTAAGCCTTTGACATCTTTGTTTTTCAATTATTATAAAGTTACCTTACCATTCAAATAATAATAAAACCCTTTCTAAGTTTAAACTCGAGTGCTAAACTTGTATGAATGCAGCAACGTTTGTAAAGATACTCAAAGAGACCACCCCGGAGACAGTGTACACACACAATTACCCTTCTGTGCCAGGTATAAACAAAAGGCATAGAGCATTTTTTTTAATGGCTGCAAGCTTCAGTTCCCAAAAAAATGCAAGATTAATATATCTTTTACCTTCCAAATAATTCTTCTTTTTAAAAGTTCTTGAAAATGTTTATTTACAACACTACACAATTACATCATTTTATAATGCTAAAATCAGGATGCCATTTCTTCAGCACTTGCAAACTGATGGTTTCAAATGTGCCTTAAAAGTGTATGGGTTGTGTGTCATTGTTCATATCAACTGTTACCTGTTCTCATGAGTTCTGAATCACTAAACAAATCAGATTATCTTAATTATGCTGTATAACTGCATTAATTCTAGAAGTATCACATGCTCCAAAAGCATAAGCAAAACCATCACATATTCCATGCCAAAAAATTAATTTGCAATGCTTTATTTCACTGTATTACAACGTGCTTCCATTGCTTTAACATTTCTTTCACTATTACTGTACTTCAATCAAACAATACAGAGCAGATGGCACAAACATAAGAGGTAACGTGAAACATACAGTTTTCCTAAATTTATTACTGTAGACCATGCTGAAAATACAAAATTCAAACCAAATCCAATGTTCATTTAATAACTTACATGAACTACAAATTTACTTGAAACAAAGAATTACTGTTTTCTGGTCTGACATCTTGTATATCAAAGGCCAATTATGAAAATTAAAGCAGGGTGGCCTTGAATGTTGGGGAGTTTTTTCTTCCATTTCCAACTATCTGTACTTCCGCAATTTTTTTTTTTTAATAAAAAATACCCAGAATTACCTAAAAACTGGTTTTTTTCCCCCTTAGAGTATTGGGAAAAAATTAAAATAAAATAAAAAATTCCAATAAAATAAAAGTAGTAGCATGTTTTGCTGCCATGGCTCATTTATTTGGCCTTCACGTGTTTTAACGGTTTTAGAGATTTGTCTTAAAACCAAACTGAATTCTAACCACAGTTGTGTGTTGACATGTGCAATCTCTCACCACAAAATGAGTGGTTTAAAAAAAAAAGGTATTATTTATTTTTTCCTAGAAACAAATATTCAGTATAACTTATGCTGTAAGCACAGAGGACAGAGCTAAACTGAAGACTACAGCCATAGCTCTCTGTTTCCTCTGACAGCTCATTTACCAGATTTTTATGAGCTACTCATCATTATTTTAATGGAAGAAAAAATTCTGCCAAGCAGCTGTAAATCATATAGAATCATAGAATGGTTTGGGTTGGAAGAGACCTTAAAAATCATCCAGTCCAACTCCACTGCCATGGACCCAGATACCTCCCACTAGATCAGGTTGCTCAAAGCCCCATCCCACCAGACCTTGAACATCTCCAGAGATGGGGCCTCCACAACTTCCCTGGGCAACCTGTTCCAGTTTCTCACCACACTCATCATAAAAAAAAAAAGTTCTTCCTAATGTCCAATTTGAATCTACCCTCTTTCAGTTTAAAACCGTTGTTCCCTTGTCCTGTCACTAAAGCCTCAGTAAAAAGTCTCCCTCAGCCTTCCTCATAAGTCCCCTTTATATACTGAAAGGCCACAATAAGGTCTCCCCAGAGCCTTAATTTTCTGGTATCTGCCCAACACAGCAGCAAGATTTCCTACCTCCTATCGTATGCTTTTCAAGCAAGTGAAACATATTCTGTAATTACGTGCTAAGATCCCACTAATTTTAAGCATGCAAATAGTTCTAACAAGATTAATGGGATACACAATATAAATAAATTAAACTAATTAAAGTCTAACATTTTTCAGAAGTCTCAAAAAAAGCACCAATTCTGCATTACGGTTCTCAATGAACATCTAAGGCAATTAGAGAAAGATAGCAAACAATTGCCGTAAAAGCGTTTTCTATTAAGCTTCAATTCCTTCAAGTTACCAACACACAGTATTTTTCTTAAAACACATAGGGAAAGGTTTTGCTATTTTTTTTGAAAGTAAACACCTAACTCAGAAAAGTATAGTACAAACCGAGGAAAAATGCAAGGGAACAAACTTGTTACGATGCAAACAAGGAATCTGATGAAAAAAATGAAAATGCTATAAGCAATTAGAGAGGGAGGACTTAATGGAAACTGTAATCTAAGGTCAACTGTAGTTGATGTTCCCAATAGATACAAGTAGGTAAGTTTTAAGATATTTTTTATATTCCTCACTGCATAAGAAATCTGGCTGAAACTACAAACTATAAAACAAATAAGTGACTGCCTATGAGCAAGATATTATATTAGCAAACAGTACTCCATTCCACACTTATGCCGAATTAGCAGAAACGATGGTTTTATTAATTTTTACGGTTTTCAAAGTGCCAAGATTGAAATCAAGTATTATACTATATATTTTTTCAGTAGTGCTTGTTACATTTATCAGAATTTTCAGTACTCTTGAAATACTTATGCAGCTGAAATACATTTTAAAACGTGTACATTTAGATTGCAAAATCTACAGAACTACTCTCAAACTTTCTTCAAAATAACTATTTTAGGAATTTTATAAAAGAGAACAAGTGAGAATTCCTCTAAAAAACCAGACAGTTAATCCAGCTGACCCATGTACATGACTCAAGAACTAGGTGCTGACTGGATGAATGCGGACTGTAGTTTCTGCCTGTGTCCATCGGCATTTTAACATTCCCCAACAGTTTCTAACTTTCATTGCACATAAATGCTACAACAGAACTGCAGAGTATTTCCCCAGGGGTTCAAGACTTATTGTCTGAAAAAAACCAAAAAACCAAACCAAACAAAAAACCCCACAAAAAGCAGTGGTATATGCAGTACTTATTTTGTCCAGCATTGCCAAGCAGTGCTGGTCAGTCACAGCATCTTTGCCAAGTGGAAAGCACTGCAGTCACACATGTGCATAATGAGCCTGTCATGTAATCTCTTTTTTTTACAATTAGCATATTTAGGATGCATAAACATAATTCTGCTTTGAGATAAGCATTTACAGAAACAAAAAATACTTCTGACTGACCTTTACATTTCCTTTAAATGCATCTGTTTCCCAGGATAAACCAAGTGTCCCAGTAAGAGGTAGGTGCTTCGTATTATCCTTTAAGCTTACAGCTGTGAGCCTCAAATATCCATTTGCAATGTCACCTGAAAATATTAACAGTACATAACATTATACTACTAGAAATCAAACTGAGCCCAAGTACACTGTAAATGTTCCTTCCACTTCTCTTCAAATCTTTAGTTTCCTCCCACTCACCAATAAGGAACCCTGACATACACCAATATTTACATATCAAGCACATTAAGTTGCAGTTTAGGGCTTTGATTTTGTGATCTACAGTAGAAGCAGCAGCTAAAAAGAAATGTTGTATATTTGAGTATAAAAACCTGAATGCCACCTGAACAACTTATGCAAGGATTTAAGTTTCATGCCCCAGTGCCTCCATCAGTGCCCACGCCCCAAAAGAAAAGCTCAACATAATATACTAAATACCACCCCCCCTTTTTTTTTTTTTTTTTAAGCTTCTCTGCCCTAACTGGTAACTGAAATAACCCTGTACATTGGGGGATAAGGGTAACTATCAGTCCTCCCTGGAAAGGATACTACATCATTTAAATTGACAAGCAGTATGCCTATATGAAGTTTTTAAATTATGTATTTATTCATTTTTTAAATAGCTTTCCAAAGTCTCACTTTTTTTTTGACAGAACTATTAAGATTTCTTTGTGATTTTTTAAATTTTATTTTATTACTACACATATACATATTCCTTCGGTATGTCTTCCTCTCCTCCCAGGACAGATCAACTTTTTTTAATTGTTCTTTTTTCCCTTGCTGTCATAGCAGGAAAGTTAACCAGGGAGTCCCAATGGTTTACATTATAATTTGAGATACATCACAACAAGCAAGATCTCTGACTACAAAAAAATATGCATCATATTGTGACACAAGCAGATTTCTTAGTAGGACATCCCTTAAACAAATTTCCTTGAACAAGAGGAAATTTTTTTTCTCTTAAAAAAGCAAACGAAAATCCTAGATAATTCAAAGAAAAAAAAAATAATAAGAAAGGAATGGAATTAAGTATCTAGCACTTGCAAGCAACAGACAGGGAGAGAGAGAAGGAATTCCCAGGAAAATACTGCTTGTCAGGATCCACTGGCAGGCCCCAGATGGTAAGATGATAACTGAAGAGGCTTGTAGAGCTTTAAGATGCAAGTGAAAAGGGAGAGAAGTGTTTTGCCTGTGGTTCTCCTTCAATCAAGCCCAAGTAGCAGCATGAGGTTGAAGACAGAATCAGCAGCATCGGAAAGGCTGGCTTTAAGTTAAAAAGGTAAAGCCTGCATGCAAGAGCAGCAAGAGCCTTTGCCTGGTGGCTGCTGAAGGCAGACAGCTGGAGGCAAAGTGTCAGAGAAAGGGAGCCCACAGTTTATACAGAAGTCAGAAAACTTCTCTGAACTGGTATGCTGGGGCTAAGCAGCTCCCACGAGATGCTTGGCCAAAAACCAATGCTGGAAAGACATCATTCACAAGCAGGGTGTCCAAAGAATACTTACTGTGTGGAGGAAGCAGCCCATATATGACAGAGGACAGAAGCAGCAGGTTTTTCAGGACTCCTGTCTGGAACAGGAGTGTGAATATAGTGAAACCACCATGACTATGCCCAGGAATTATTTTGTATGGTTGAAGGAAAATGCATCACACCAGACAGTGATACCCACTGTCCTTGCAGTGAACTCAGTGAGGAAAACATAAGCAGAATTCATTTTCAGGATCCAGCTCAAAGTGCAAAAAAGGGTATTAAGTTAATACCCCCCTGAATGGTTCAGTTCCCAATCTCAGTAAATCAAATCAAATGACAAGATTTCATTCAAGATAAAAGTATTTTAGATAGTCAAGCTGAGCAAACACTGAAAGTCCTCATTTAAAAGTTGAGCTTTTATTCAAGAGACTTTAAACAACATCAGTCAACAAACACTTATTCCAAAGGACTATTCCGTTTTCTGCAATTCAGAGTGCAATGGAAGCAGCTATTCCTCTCATTCAAAACAAATGAAAAACTTATTGGAATAAAAACAGATTAAAAAAACCATACCGCTAACAATTTAACAAAGCCCAGGATATCACCACTATTGCATGGCATTAACTGCTGCATTGCTAGACGGGTCACCTGGCTCAAGTGTAAGCTATAAATCCCCTATTTCTAATACTTCTTAACTTTAAGCCAGAATGGAAATAGGAGACACAGGTCAGGAATCTGAAGGCTAATTATTCATGAGTTAGTTAATTCAGTCTTTATAATTATTTTTTTTAAATATAAAGGATCCATTGCAGTCTTCATATCCAGAAGAAAGAAAAAGTATGCCTAGAAATCAGCAAGAAGCTGAAGTGCTAAGTACTGAAATCTACCCTTCCTCACCCCAGTTGGATAAGAAAAGGAAACTAAAGGGCAGAGCAAGCTATATTAACCATACTAAGAGGGAGTAACTGGGAAAGGAATTTCTTCAGTCTGATCTAGAATTTGGTTCATTCCCACTTTATAATATCTATAGTCCAGAGTTTATGCAAGACACATATAGGAGCAAAGCAGACCTTTAATCAGTATAGGTTTAGGGAAAAAATATTTTTAAATAAAGGGACTACCAATATAGAGAACATATATCATGTAGCCATTCTCAGGGGAAACAAATAGCCCAATAGTTCAAAGGCACTTATTTTAGCTACCAGGCAAGCGAGTTTGTTTTGCTAACCAAGCCTTTGTTGCAAGTTGCAATTTGGTTGTTATTTTCACAGGGAAGGCAGTGCTTAGCACTAATCCTGATGGCAACAACCAACCTTACCATGCTGAAACGGTCATTTAAATTTGCAAATCAATCTTCAAGGTCAAGCAAAAACATTTCAAATACATGGTGTGATATTTTACAAACAAATCTCAAAAGCTCTCTAAACACACCAAAATCACCCCATTATATTTTGCAAGCACAACACATCACAACACAGAATAACAATGAAAAGCCAAGCTTAGACTACCATATGGCTACAAAGCTATGCTTAAAAAGTGGAAAACCTGGGTAAATACATTTCAAGAATGTTTATTAAATGCTAGATGGCTTCTGTGAGTCATATGAAAAGCCTGTCACAGCTTCCTGAAAACAAGAGAAGTTTTCAATACTTTCAATTCAATTTGAAAGTATTTAGCATATTCACCCTACACTATCTGTCAACAAGACCATATTACCAATTCTTTCTAAATGGAAGGAGCATAAAATAAAATGCTAAAAAACAACTAAAACACAGTGGCAAAACAGCTAGTTACTGCAGTGCAAGTATTAATAACAAAAAAAAAAGATCTGAAGCCATATACTCTATCCACTTGGTTCAATGAAGTGTTATATAACTTTTTTAATTTATTGTTAAGAATTTTGCAGAAAGAACTGAAAATAGAGCAGCAAAATGAAGCACAACATTAATGAACATTAACAAAAAGCAGACAAAAATAAAACTAAATGTTAACAAAACAGTTATTCTGCAGAATAACAAATGGGCATTCCCTACGGATCCAGGAGTGTCTGTCTACAATTTCCTAATGGAAACAAATAAATAAGTAAAACCCCAGTATAACAGCTGACAACTGATCTGTGTCTCAGGTTGTGGAAACTGCCATTGGCACGTCACATTCATAATTTAAAATAAATCTGGATTGGGTAGAGAATTTTGAGAAACAGCAAGACTTCTTACTATGACGGAGAGCTCCATGCTTCAGAGGCCTCCCAGAGAATGGGACAAAGAGCATCATTAGAACGGAGCCTGAAAACAAACTGCAAACCATCAAATACAACTGGCTTGGACAAACCTACACTGTTGGCCACATTCAGAAACACCACGTTTACCAGAAAGAGCAAAGTAAACAACAAATTACCGTGAAGATACATCACAGCAGCCAGCCATAAGCTGCCTCACTACATCATTTCCGAACACAAATTATGGAAGAAGGCAAGCATTTTCCAAAAGGAATTATTGTGCAAGTACATAGAAGGGAGTAGATGACAAATGAGCTTATTGCCTGCAGACCCATAGCTTCAGCTGGTTGATGTCCTGTGAGAGCAGACTCAAGCGGCTGTCACACAGCTGAAGGACACAAAGCCCAAACAGTTCAGACAACAATCGTGATCATAAAACAGATTCTCTAACTAGCAAAGTGAGACGGCATCACAACTGTAGCTCCTGGACATTTGCTACTATTTGCATAAACATCAGCTTAATCTTTAACAGAAGTAGCTTCTAAGCGGCAAAAACATGATGCCAACAAAGAAAGTGTGCCACATACTGCTTTCTCTTACACAACTGTATTGCTAGGAGCATATAATTTTCATTTTAGAAAACAAAACATGACATTCACCTAGAAAAAAAAAACAACAAAGCAAACCTAAACAAAAACCCAACCCTCTGGCCAATTTACAGAAGAGGGTATAAAGAGGACTACTGTATTGAACAACACCTCAGGAGAGATTTCTATTGCTACATGGATAGAATTTCACTGAAATTTTACCCTTATAAGTATTCCTTTATTTTAAGCCTGGAGCTTTTTGGGAATCTGAAAACACGTACGTTTCAGTTCAAAGGACTGCAACACGCCACACTGTGCACAAGGCTACAGTCGAAATGACAGTTCTTGGAGTCATCAAACACAAATTTAGGAAAAAAAAAAAGTCATGAGGAAATCTGTTCTAACACTGTAAAAGCACTCAAGCCTGATAACAGTGCCCTCTACTGTCTTCATTAAAAACAGTATTTCCTGAAATGAACAGAAGGCTCATTAGTACTGTTATCAGGAAAATACTGGGAAGAAATAATTAAAGTGTTTAATGTTAATGTTTTAATTTAAAGCTTAATATTTTAGTCTGTCTCTACTGACAGAAAGACAGCTGTGTAGCTGCAGGCAGGGCTGTGTTGAATATACCCATATACTTTGCAAAACCCTACTAGAATTAAGTTGGGCTGTACGTGAACAAGAATAGCCAATCATATCTCATTAAAAGAAATGCTGAGAACTGAAAAAAGCAGCACAAAAACAATCACTGAAATTGTTTATTACACAATGAAAGGATGTCAGAATAGGCAACCTTAAGTTGACTTAGCTATAAATCTTAAAGTTCACAGTACCTTCTAGAAATATATTTAAATATTTAATCTGTCAAGGCACTTTAAGTATATTTAGGAAGAATTCTACAGAAATAGGTCTCCAAAATGTACAAGGACAAACTTATTTTCCTTTATAGTAAACAAGTGGAAGGAACATCAACCTGCACCAAAAGCTGTGCCACTGCGTTATTAACTCAGCACTGAACCAAATGAAAACATCCAGCCAAGCTGCCAATCCTATATCTCAAGCCTGACACTATGTCAATTTAATAGTGGACAGACTTCATACAGATCAAGCTTATGGCACCACACAATGCACCATGCAGATATAAAGAACTCACACAATGAACAAAAGGACAGCTTACTCTTAAAAATACATTTCAGTTTCTCCCCTTATAACAGATATATTGGATATAAAAGGGAAAATATACCAGCAGGGATCATTTTAAAATCAGACATTACTGTTCTGTCAACTCTACCTTTTCTGCAGAAGAGGTTCTTGAACGTTCCACACAGGTAGGTACAGCTTCCACTGTGCATATCAAGATGTAGATTGTAGTCATGCAGTCCATATTCTGGGTCAACATCATCCAATACAGGTTTATGAGGTGGAAGGGCATATTGACTTTAAAAGCAATAATAATGATAGGATTGAGCAAAGGGGGAATGACTTAATAGAAACAGATATAGTAAACAGTCCTACACTGATCTTGTCATTGGGTCTGGTCTTACTCAACATATTCACCAACAACCTAGATGAGGGTTATAGGGTGCACTCTCAGCAAGTGTGCTGATTATACAAAACTGGGAGGGGTGACTCAGCCAGGCGGTTGAACTAGGTGATCTACAAAGGTCCCTTCCAACCCCTACCATTCTGTGATCTCAGGAGAGGTTATAGGAGGGGGAAAATTGTTAGAAGATACAACTTTTCTTCTTTATTAATGCTTTCGAAAATCAAACATCTCTATTTCATACTTCTTTTAAGCCGTCTCATACAGTGCCTGATATTTGTAATCACCTGTCCAGCCTAGCCAAAGGCAGAAAATAATGACAGTCAACTTTAAAAGGTACATCTGTTAAACTCCGAAATATGGATTTGTTTAGGAAAAATAAAAAAAAAATTAAAAAATCAGCTTAACTATAAATCTAAAAGCCAACTAGCTACAAACTTCTCTGGAATAGCAGTTATTGTATTATTTTGCCTGTACCTAACCTTAAAAGAGAAACAACTGCACACAAATGACCATAAGAGCCCAAATCCCAGAGGCAACTGAGCAGCTCCCAGATAGGATGCTAGCTGGTAATGAGGGAAGAGGATGTTAAATCTTACATTCTGTGTGAAAAGAGCCATGCTAAGTTATAGTGGGCACATGAGATTACCAGTAGATAAAACAGTATCTGAGCAGAGAGTTGAGGGGGTGGGCTGGGGGGGAAATAAATCCCCAAGGTCATCCTCTAAAGCTAAAAAAAACTCCATCTTTTTAAACATTTTACAGTGTATAAACAGGTACTACATTATACACTGCAATATGCATAAATACTTCACAGGAAATCCAGCTATTTTTTCAATATGACTGAAAAATAAATGCAGGCACCTTACCAGTTTCCTAGAATTTTTTTCTCCCCTCTTACACAACTAAAGATTATTTTCCTACTCCCTAAAATTTCTCTCTCTTTTCTAGGTCTTTCAGATAGGAAGAGGGAATAAAAAGACTGCTTGTGAAAAGGGAAGAAGTATGGGCAGTGTATTTCTAACTTTCTCAATACAGCAAGCACTAGCACACTTGTATGACTAAATTATCTCCTTAATAGCATAACAATGGCAACATTTTAGTATGAAAGTACTTCTACAGCTTTGTATATATAGTTACTGTAGCTGTTGTTTATATTAAACAGGAATAGTTAATTACTGCCTAAATATAAACCTCTTACCAGCAGCCAATTTTAACTGTAAAACTCAAAGCTTCATTCAAAAGGTTATCTTTATTACTCATAAAGGAGAAACCAAAACTTACACAGTAGAAGAACCCAAAGTGCTTCTCTCAAGAAGTTGATGATAATGGAGACTCATCATAACAAAAGCAATTTCATTTTTCTCCTGAAAAGTTAATTAAAGTAGACGTATTTTCATCTGGAAATACTTTTTTTCACACAGTCTTCCTGAGCATTAAAATTCATAGATAAATGCTGCTGCTTATTACTCTGCCAGTTACTGTAATAATGTTAATAATGGTTTGCTTTAACACTTGGACTCCTATAATTGCTACTGTATTTTCACAAGAATACAGAATGTTTGTAAAAGATCACAGCATTTCTATATTATGGGGGAAAGGAGATAACTTTTGTCCTGGCATAGCTAGTTTATCAACAGCATTCCATGAATTGTACTTCTCTAGATTCTACTTACAACTTTGAACTGAACACCTAAAAAGAGTCCAACAGGCCTTACTCTCAGCTACTAAATACCTAAGCATCAAGCTTATTTTCATAAGTAAGGAACTAGTTGCAAAGAAAGAATCATCACTGAGGAATACAGAGCTATTCAATAGAAATAGTGAGCTTCAAAGTAAAACCCCAGATGTCTTCACCAGATTACATACTCCTGAAAAACAGCATACTTCTGTAGGCCTATATAGCTCAAAGGAAACTTCAGAGCTCAGTGTGAGAACTAAACACAGCCAAAGATATCTATTTACTTCAAGAACACAGAATGCTAGGATTTGAACTCTTTTCTAAAGAAAAATGCATTTCTAAGTTCTACATTTGCAAACATGTAAGTCAATAGCAAAATTATTCACTGCCAGCAGTCTAGTACTGTTCTGAAAAATGGGCAACCACTGATTTCATCTCTGGGTTACCAAACAGAAAATTACATGCCCTACCCAAACCCTTGTTGTTTTTTTTAACTACTTCTGTACATTTGTAGTGCAAAATTACAACTATAAAAGACAGATTTATCAATTGCTTAGAGTCTCTCAGTTTTTTTTCTATCCAGAATGCCCACATAACTTGTCCTTGGTAGTAAAACCTACTAGTGTTGGCAACTTCTGTTATTCAGCTAAGCTAAGACCACTGCCACCTCTGAATTCTGACCAACAGCAGAACACCTGAGATAGGCTTCCATAGCACCTAACTGCATGGAGCTTCAGGCAGACACCGAGGTCCAGGTGTATTCAGTGCAAAGACAGAGATTCCTTTAGAGAGGAAGTCTACTTCAGATGTTCTGCACTGCTCTCTAAAGACATCCATCTCTACACATAGCCAACAGAGACTAACCCCTTCACTTCGACACTTAATACTAAGAATTGAATATCCCCAAAAGAGCACAATTTACAGCATTCCTGCTGCTGGAGCAGGATATGAGTACCTGGTGATGTAGGTTAAAGGAAACAACTAGCAAAGATGCCTTGTGGGAATTCATCACTATGAGTGATGGGGACAAGGCAAGGCATAAGTCAGGGGAAGAAGCATCTCTCTCCTCAGAACGTTCTATTTAAAACGGCTTTAGGATATCGAACTCTGGCATGTGAAGACTGCAAAATAAATACAACCTAACACAGAAATAAGAACAGTACAGTATCTAATATACTATGATTCATAACTGTTCTCTTAATTAAAGTGGATTTTTTTGAAAAGTAGATACTCCTGCAACAGTTGTTTAGAATACAATAAATTGTCAACTAGCTGTCCCTACCTGTATTTGCTTCTTGTTTGTTTAGACAAGATCTTTTAAAATCCAAAGAAAAAAAAGAAGGTGGGAAAAAAAAACCCACCACCAAACCCCCCCCAGATCCCAAAATACAAGGCAAAAGAATCTGTTTCTTCAAGTCATAATAAAGCATTGAAACAAAATGTTATCTTACCTTCCAAAGTCCTACTAAGAGTCCTGGATTCAGACTGAAGAGCTGGACAAGCTTATCAGCACCAAGTGCTACACTACTTTCAGTCAGGTTAGCAAGATGGTATTCAGCAATTAAGGAACGACGACGAGGTCTTTGAAAAGAACATACAGAATCTAGCAACAAGACTTTGTTGCTTATTTGTGTAAAAGTTCAGCCTAATTTCACTCTGAAGTCTGACCAAGAGCACATGATAAAAACGGTTTTGAAGGCATTCAGCAGGCATAGCCATGAACTTTACTTCTGAACAACTACAGCATACTAACAAGAAAAGAAACAAAATGAAGGGAAACTTATATGCTTACCAGTATTTCAAAACAGCCACAGAATTACTTTATAATTTGTTTTTAATACTATGTTGGTAATAGATGGAATCACTGAACATTTGTGAGTATGAAGCAAGCTACTAAAAAAGATAAATTCTTATTCCACAGAAGCAAACTTCCAAGGAAAGGATCAAATTGTTAAAGGAAGCTTTTCTAGTATTTTAGTTGCTTGCAACTAAAACAATTTAGCTCCATAACACCCTTTAACTAAATTTCATACTTCACAGACATTCTTATTGGCTAATGATACATAAAAAAAGAGCAGAAAGCAGAGTCTGTGTTACCTATTCAGAATGGAGAAATAACTCTTTCTAAAACCTTTCACAGACTTAGCCTCTTACTATATTCAAAATTGTTCCTAGATTTCCCAAAAGCATCACAGCAGTGTCACCTATCACTACACACTGCTGGGGAGGCAGCAACCAACAAGAACTTTGTCACATTACCTTGAACTGTAAGATTTGGGGCAGGGATAGGACATCAACCCCTACCACCTTTAAGGCAGGCAGGACGGTATAAATACAGGGACTTTCCCAAAGTCCCTACACTAGCTCCTTATATTCTTAACATTCTGAGTAACATTCTGATATTTGTGAAATCATTACCTTCATGTATATTCACAAGCTCTAACAACTTATGATTCTGTGAAGCAAATACATTAACTGCCTGCAAGTTTTCTTTTACTATTTTGTACATTTTTTTTTATATGCATGTACTTATATTGTACACATCGCCAAACCCCAAGTTCCCTAAATTCACATACACATCTAACAGACAGAAAATAAATGTTAGTAACATAGATTACCTGATTGTAGCCACATAAACATATAAGAACTGTTCCAATGCAAATGTCTCACATTAAAGTCTCCTAGATTTACATGTTTGTTTCGTGCTCGTTTGTATCTAAGCCTTAGGTTCAGCTTTCCAAGGCAGGACCTATCAGTCTGCATCTTGCATGCCAGTAGCTACATTAACCTATGAATTGATGTCATAACTCACTGGATTATACCTATTTCTTGCTAAAAAAGCTCTACCAATGAAAAGAAGGACAGAGACTTTGGAAGAGATACTACAGAGAGGCTTTCTAAGGAAGAATTAACTTGATAATTTTTAGATAGCTCCTACAGACACATTATCAACCAGCTACACCAGAACCCCCCAAGAATCCTATGTTAAAACTCACCCATTCTTGCTGAGATCTCTGCTTTGGTCAGGAAGCAACGGCACAACTCCAAATAGTTTTAGGGTTGTCAGGTTGTCTAAGCATGGCCAATTTGTACTATACCAAAGTATAGTAACAGATGTGTCCTTAAATGACAGGTTTGCCTTCTCCATTACATGTTCCTTTCCATTTTTGTCCTTTAGAACAATTATCCAACTCAAGCCAGAGGCTCTGGTATTTAGGAATTGAAAGGGGAGAGGAGTGTTTGGGGAAAAAAAAAAAAAAATTATCAAAGTGACAAAACTTAAAACTATGCTTCCAACAGAATTCTTAAATTTCTACTAACTGCTACTTATGTTTCTCAGGCTATGTCATTTAGAGGCTATCATTGCATCTTCCCATTATGATATACATTTTATAGCTCTATTTCCATACCCACCCAGCATTTCCAAAGCCATTAATATTCTGTACATTGTTCTCAACTAAACGTTTTCTGTGACAAGGCATTGCTTACTTCATAGCTTCTTTGTTTTTACATGGAAGACCTGTATAAGGATCTACAGGTTTAACAAGTCGCGTTACTCTAGTTTTGACAGCAGCTATTTGTTTGAAGATATATTCTTTCTTCCAATACCCAGGCTTTCTATCATATAGAGCAGTACAGTCCAAGGAAGCAGTTTCTGTTTGTTCAGACTTCATTTTCCAAATTGTCTTTTTTGGTCGAAAACAACTGGAATAGATTTTCAGCCAGATTCCACTGAAAATTAAAACAGAATAAAGAGGAAAACCACATAAATTTCAAGGATAGTTACTTAATTATTCTTATACGCATGTCTCAGCCACCACTGAGTATAGTGTTAGCAGAAAAATATAAAGTCCTAAATTATCAGCAAACTGGGTTTAATCTAAATCTAAGTTTACAGAAGACCAGAAACTAGTTAAGAAAATGCAAAGGCACAGTTTAATACTCTTCCTGATTTTGACCTTCCAACAACTCATATGAGGCCAGTTTCCCTAGTGCACACACAAAGGCTCAGGAACCAAAAGATGCTAGATGTCAGCATCTCTCATGGGCTTACTAGCTTATCTCAAAGAATAGGGAATCTCTGAGCACATTTCTTGTTCTGGATTATACATACCAAATGAGAGTCACTTACAACTTTCTGCTCTACCACGGCAGGGGGGGAAATTATTCAGTTAATTCTTACAATATGCCAGTAAGGCTGATAAACTTATCAACTACATATACACAATATGGTTGACTAGTGCTCTAGAAAGTTGGATCATCAGATATTGGGAGTCTCACAGTGTTTTATGCCTCTTAATAGCACACCTGAGTATGTGGTTTTTAAAAGCCTTCCTCTACTTTATGCTGCTACTGCCTTCACAGATTTTAAAATCTGAAGCAGTTCTTTTTTTAAAAAGCCAACAAAACAAAGAAGTACATATATCAGAGAAAGCTACCGGGAGGAAACAGAGAAAAAGTAAATCTTGTCTGTCTGTGTGAACATACAGGATCCAGGATGAAGCTCAGAGGCAGCACAGCCATACTCAGACACTCAAATGAAAATTGATTAAGGTTCAGCAGTTACTTTTGAAAATTCAACCCCAAGATAATGATGCATCCTCTTCACACAAAATCAGCTAGTGGAAAAAGTGTTTTTATAGCTTTTACTCAACAAAGACAGCCTGGACTCCTCAAGTTTCTCACACAGATCCAGCTGAAAGTGGGGTGGGAGAGGACAATTAGAATCACCTATGTTTGGTGGTGGTACCACTGTCACGTCAATCCCTTCTGCACTTTCAGAGAAGAAATGTCTTTTTGAAGAGATCAAAGAAACATGCAACAGGAATGATGGGTTCATCTCTCTTCTGTTAGGAAAAATACGAGGTCACATTTCCACCCCGACATCCCAGTATCTTTAGGGAATTCAGAGCAGTTCAGGGAATACTGAGTACAAGAATTTACAAGAATTCAAACAGCAATCTGTGAATAAAGGCTTCCAATAACTTTTCTAATTTTAAGTACTAGCTACACAGTCTACACAACTGCACTAAAGAAAATTAATAGCAACAGAAACAAATTCTCAAGAGAAAGTCTCTACCATTTATCAGCATGATTACCTTCACCAGTCCTCGCTTATCCCCAGGCAAACTTACACCAACGTGCTTTGTAATGCATTTTTCCCCTCCTTGAAGCATTAAAGCATTCAAGGACTGAATCCATCCCACACTGCCTCCGACTCCTGAAAACCACTCTCACTTCATCGCCTGCTGAGAATAAGTCCCCACAGGCCCAAAGCCAAGCTCTTTGTTACTGAAGCAAACATACTGTGGAATTTTGCAAAAACCTTCCAGCCTGCTGCTCTGCAGATATATGTACAAACTCCCACAGCCATTTTTGAGTCAAAGCTGTTTAAAACACGCACAAGCTTCTATGACTGGTAAAGGGGGGCTCACAGTCAACATGAGCTTCCAACTTTCCTTTCACCAAAATTGCGGGGGTATGGGGGAGGTGGGGGGGCGAAGGCAGAACATAAAGAACAATCCCATAAGTAAAACAAAGATTGAAGATGTAATTTTGAGACCAGAAGAGAAAACCCCATTATAAGATATCATAAAACATTTCTGATAGAGGGAGGAAATTCTTATTTAACTCCAAAGCAGCTAAGAATTGTAGGATGACAAAAACAGAGGAGAGATGCCCTTGACACACCATCATCAGGGGAAATTGAGCCATGCATCATCCAACTGGTCGTACTCAACCTGAAAAGTCCAACAAGATGTCCTCCTAGAACCCTCTCCTGTTAACTAGAAACCCCCTCCCAAGACAGAAATCCCTTCTTTCATGGGGAGAGATAGTCAGCATCTGCCTGCATGATGCTGAAACAACAGGGGTAGTAGTAGGTATTTCCTGCATTTTCAAGGTACAGTCCCAGGCAATGTAAGTGGAATGAAGACCAACTTGCCACCAATACCTACCACCCTTCTACTCACTCTCAGTTACATATTGCTTCTTCCACTCCCAAAACAGCATCGTGCAAGCAGATGAGAAATCAGTCCAAGAAGTCACCACTTGAGCACAACAGCAAAAAGATCTGGGCAAGGCAAAAACATCTTCCCCTGTGCTTTGGCTTTTCACTTGCTCTTATACAAGCACTTTCTGCTGGCGATCAAAACCCTCAGGCTTTCAGACCATCTCTGCGAGCTTTTCACAGTGCACGACAGGAAGGCTGGAATAATGCCACGTGCTGGGGCAGAGGGTGTACAGAAAGCGAGGGTCAGAAACATTTCCACCCCTTCAGCAGTTAAATTGAAGACATCAGTGCATCAGTATCAAGGAACCACTGAAGTGCAGATACTATTTGAAGAGCCCAAAGACAAAGGCATTAGGCTGCACAGGTATATAAAGCTGCTCCATTAGGCAGCACAGGCATATCACAATAAAAGACAGATGGTCCTGCTGCATCAAGGACAGCATCCTGTACATCCAGGACAGCAGAGATATCCTCAAAAACATATCCTGCCTAAAAAACAAGGTGAGATTTGCCAGAGAGATATGCAGGAACTCCAATTAAAATTTATGTTAATTCACCAAAAGATTCAGGGACTCAAGAAGGTTCACGGAAATTCAGCAGAAGTGACCTGGTCCCACTGAACCAGTCCGTCTCCTAGATAAAGGAAATTATCTCCTCCCAGAATCCCATTTATGCACATCCAGTAATCTCTGTCAAGATTAGAAAATGGAAAGACACACTGTTGAGATGAAGACAGATGAATCAGCCTCCCTTGAAGAGCCACAATGATTTTATCCTACCTTACTATCCTGAAGTGGAAAATGCATATTAAGATATATAACTTGTGTCAACTATGCATTTTTATCTATATGCACCTGCTGACAGCCTCGAAAAATAAATCTGGATTATGGCCTTCCTTTTAAATTCATCAGTTCTAAAGGTGTCAATGCCAATGTTAACCAATTCACTGCACAAGTTTTGGCAAAGAAGTGAGAAATCTGTGAATACCAGGTGCAGCAACTTCCTATATAGGAAGAAACTTTCTCATTTAAACAACACTAACGCAGCAGAATCCTAGGAAAAAAAGATACCCAGACATCCTAGTTATCATGTACCAACTAGGTAATTGATCCACTCACAAAATTATCGTGATACTTGTAGGAGCAATTTGTGAACCCTATATAAGCAACTACTTACAAAAAATGTGTCCATATTTTGTTTTCATCCAGAAGGGACCAAAATTTGACAGTAAAAGCAACAGACAAAATCCACCAGTGAACCACTTGATTAAATCAGGGCCTCTGCAAAAACCTGATGAAAGAGCTAAATAACTGGGACTTCAAAATTATGAGAGCTATGACAATTCTACAAAGCTACTGGCTACACATCACCAAGAATCACCTGAATCAAAATGCCTGTGCAGGTGCATGTGAATACAAACCAATATATACAAATTTTACAATAAAATAAATGCTAATAGTAACATTTCAAAACACTATTTCGTTTTCACCTCGTAACTTCCATTAAACTTAACAGGGCTTGCACAGCTGGAATTCCAGACAACATGTTGTACTGTGAGCTATGCAGTACATTTTCAGCAGAGTAATTGCCAGTAGGTACATGCATCAGTGCTCTGGCACCAGTGAAACTAAATTAGAAAGACTCATAATTCAGATAAACTCAACTGCTGCATAATTAAGACTAGCACTTATGTGTCCCTCTTCCTTACTTGTCATTGGCCAGATGATAGAAGTGCTTATTCACACAACCAACACACAACAGGGACACAGCATCCAAATAGGAAAATATCTTCAGCAGCATTTCTGATGGCATGCTGGAAAACAAGAGAAAGAGAAATACCGTTAGACTTGCCTGCAAAATCCAGAAATTTTGATGACAAAGAATTTTAATCCCAAACCAGAACAAAACAAAAGAGATGGAAACTACTAGCTTGTAAATACACCAAAAACCCCTCACTTAAAGAGTTTGTATGCAGAGTTTGGGTTCTGATTTGTCTATTTGATCTAAAACACTTGCTTAAAACAATTCACCACAACCTATTCAAGTGGCACTGAATTCACAGTTACGTGAAAAGTTATGGGTTTGTATTTTCATTAGTTACCTTTAACCCCGTTTGACATGAAACTACCTCATTCAACTTCAGTTTCTTGCAGCTTGTACCATGATTTTAACACTCAGTCCATAACCACCAGCACTTCCCAGAACTGCGTATACTCACTCTCCTCCTGACCTGGTGTCAGGTCTCAGGATGTAGCAGGACAGAAATGTCCTAGTCAAACAGTGAGTTCATGGTCTACTTCCTGAAATCTTCAAACCACGTGTGCTCAGGGGTCTCACAGTTTTCATTTCAACAAAAGATGTGAACTTGAGAATAAGAGCCTAAGAGCTGTGTGGCATCTTGATAACAATATTTTTGTGGATCTGTAAGGCTGCCCAAAATGCCTGAGTACAGAAAGCACAACATAACCTGGAGATGAGCCACCATGATTTTTGTCTTAACAGACAGAAACGTCATACCCTTCAAGTAGTATCCGGTAAGTCCACAGAGTTAAAAAAAAAATAATTATATTTTGTACTCTTAACTTTTTGGAGCATGAAAGTATAGTAACATTAAAATCACCATTGAAAATACAAGCTGCTGTGAAAGTCAACACCTCAACTGTGTCTCTTGTCCATTTACTATTGTGTCATTTACAACACTTGATTTATAATACTTGATTCCAGAAGCATATAGCCTTCAAGCACAGCATAATAATGCCAATACTCCAAGTTTTGTATTAAGATTCAGAATCTTAGTTGTACTAACAGAGAGGCAACCATGCCAAAATTTGCAGTTATTATGCAAACTAACTCACACTCTAACCCAAAAGCAGTTACTGCATTTATTCCAGAGAGAATTTAGAAATGATCCTTTAAGAAGCTGCAAATAAGCTAAAATAATATGCTTGATCTAGAATTCTGAACAGTAGGTTTTCCAACCATAATATTTTTTCTTTGAAGGAAGCTGATAGAAAGGAATTTTTTTTCTTTTCTATATTGTCTTTCACACCAAACTAACAGCATATGGGATGGCACTGCCTTACAATGGAAAACAAAGAAATGACTACACAGGAAGCTAAAAAAATGTATAAAACAAAATTCTTCGATCTTCCATGTAACATATTCTTAGGTGGTTTTTGTAGAAACGTAACAGATTTGCAAAAAAGAATTCAACAGTTATATTGAAAGTGTCCTTTCACTGTCAAACAGGGAAGGAAACATTTACCTTGCAGCAAATATGTAGCAGCCACTTTATTCCCTCCCCCTCATCCCACTCCACCATCCTAAACCTCCCTATTAATTCCAAACTACTGAAGTAATGGAGTAGCAATTTTTATTCCTAAGGACCATCACAGCCCATGATTTGCAAAGGAGTTGCTAAAGGCTTTATATGATTTGGAAAACCTACATACTTCATATGAACTTAGAAAAAGAGGTGAGGGAAAACCATGCTTGAAAACATTAGAAGGCAACATAGAATCACAAAGTAGGCCAGGAAAGGAATCTTTTCAACTCAGAACATCTGATACAGAAATCTCCAAGGTATAAACATAATAACTGTAAGCAGTCAAAAAATGGCCTACTTCTGAAGACATACTCACCTCTCAATGCACAATCTAGACTTTGGTTTCATGGAAGGCGCCAAATACAGACTTCTAATTCCAGCATTTACAGTTTCAAAATGTTCCCCAGGCCTGGCAGCCAAGCTCCTTGACCTATTTCTAAAAAGGAAAATCTGTTAGGAGTCAGAGTCACACCATCACAAAATGAAGAAATAAGCATACTGGGCACAACTAGATACCACGTCTCAACTGAGATAGGATTCAGGGAACACATCACATGGTAACTCATCATTATCAGTTCACAAATCTGAACAATTATCACCAAGTTCATATATCTGACATCAGGAAGATGCCAGATTTAAACTCATAGGTGTCTCACCCATAATTAATCTCTGACAGTAGTCAGAAGGAAATAGTGCCACACCACAAAATCAGTTTCAATCAGCTAGTGATCTATTAATGAGAGACAGCTGCACCACTGTGGCCACCATCATCAAGCTCCAGATAGGGCCCTGCAGTAAATTAAACTCACTGATTACTCTTCTGTTTTGCAACATTACTCCAAAGGCATTTTTGAGCCATCCAACTTTGCTAAACTATTAAAAGATAGTAAATAAAACAATACCTTGCAACTTTCTCAGAAATTGACAAGGCTCAAAAAGAACTCCCTTGACTATGCAACAGAATCATATTGGAAACAGACTTAACAGTCTCATTTCAGATTTTCCCCTGCTAAACTGCTAGCAGCTCTGCAGATAAGTAATAGTTCAACAGGCAAGATGGGTATCAATGTTTTATTGCTCATTAGCACATAATAATTTGGACACAAACTACTTTCTCTTACAAAAAAAAAATCAAATTTGCATATTTCTAACAAATAAATTCTTACAATCCAACTGGTTGCACATTTTTTTCAAAGTCTTCTGACAGTTTGAACTTTGTAAATTGTAATTACAAACACTGTCATTAAACCACATAGAAATATTCAGATGGAATTTCAGTTTTAATCAAATCCTTACACTTCATACCAACTGATGCTACAGAGCAATCAGAGCTCTCCATACACTCTATTAGTGATGGTTTGTACTGCTAACTAACTTTCCAACACCTGTTTAATCCAGCTTGGGGTTTCTAAGCAACCAATTGATGTTGAGGGAAAAAAATAATCTAATTTAAAAGTGCATGGGTAGCAAGCACATTTCATGCACACCGTTCTTGATTTAAGGTTTGTTTATGCTTAAAGAAAAATAAAAAGCAGAAGAAAAGAACAACTCTGCCCTACATTGTCAACTGTGCTATGTATAAAGAAATCCCTGAAGTTTTGTTGTTAAAAGCATAACACAAAAAGACATGCACATTTCAGTTTGGGTGCCAATCCCCAATAGATTAACAAAATTAACAACTACAAAAAAGCAACTGTGTATCAAATTCACCCTGGAGGTCAAGCAAACATTTTACTCATGTGTTATTATCAAGCAGTACACTTAGATGACAAAGTGAGGCTGTAACAAACTGCATTTCTCAAGAGCCATTAAAGGGACTTAAGAGACACTGTCCTTAGACACCTAGAGACACAAGTCCTGTTCAACAGCAGCAGGCTAAACAGCCCTGAACATCCCAGGCTATTCTGCCACCTATCTATGCTGAAAGCACAAAGATACCTAATTTGGGCACAGCCTACAGTAATATACCTACATAGACTCCAGCTACTAGAATAATTCCAATCAGGAGCTCAATCCTGGATTTTGCAACAACCTGCTACAAGCATAACCTGCATTGCCTGTGCTCAATCCCTTTTGCTCTTTTTTTAACCACTCCTTGCATCCCCCTTCCTCTTCACTCCAGGAAGAAATTTCTGAAGTAAGAGAAATGTTGCCTACACGTGCCTTGAAAACTTTGACACAGTCTGTACTGCTTTTGTAAGCTTCACTTCAAAAACAGTATTGGATTTTTGCATCTTCCAAAACAAAAATACTCTCAAGGTATGAAGAAACAACACTAAATTAATTGCAAAACTATTTTTCAGAAGTGTTGTGTGTGCCAAGATTTGAAATTAGTATTGACAAAATGCTTTTACACCGCATTGACAAAACTTGCCTGCCCAAGTTAAAAATTGATGAGAGTTGTTACTCCCTCTCTTTAGAGACTTTTAATAACAACCAAGATGCTCTGGCATAGTGGCACAAACTCAACTGCTATTTCATTAGCCTTCAATTTGTGGGACTCAGTTTTGTACCAGTATTTTCACTTTCACACCCTGCAGTAATTGCAACATGACTTGTTTTTTTTGCTGGTCGGGGAACAAATCTATTTCAAAGAACATATAAAAAGTTTTAAGTAGTGACAAAACCTGTCTCCTTTTCCAAACGTTAAAGCGTACCTGGGGATAAACAGAAACAACAACACTGTTTTCACACCCCTTTCTTTTCCTCACCTAACAATTCAGAAGTCTTTTAAAAAGGTATTATCCAATCCATTTATAGCTTAAAAAGAAAGGGGGGGAATGAAACAGCTATGGAACCCCAGGTTGTACAAATGGCCTAGAAGAGAAAAGACTACTTTCTCAACTTTGGTCCAAGATTGGTGCTTTAAATTTTCAGAAGCTGAACCTGTATTCTAAGAATTAAGCTAATCACACCTTCCACAATTAAATCCTCCCACTTATTACAAAGGCCTAACTACATTGAACATGAATGTGTATATATATACATATATATGTATACACACACTAGCCACTAAGCTAACTAATAGTTTGTTGGCAGGCTACTGCTTATTATACCTCATTACCTCCTCCAAAATCAAGCCCACAGCCGAGTTTAAGCCCCACTACTCATCCAGTAACCAGCGCCTTAACCCAGGCCTTCCATACACCTGTGATTCCTACAGGAAGGCACATCACCTCCGCAAAGCCATCCTCCTCCGTAAGGCCAGGGGGACCGAGGGGAGGCCATGGCCCTGAGGGAGCAGGCCTCAGGTGTGGCAAGTTGAGAGCAGGATGCCAGCGTGAGAGGGGTGGACGAGGTTTCACAGAGAAGCACTAGGAGTTTGGGGTAAACAACAAACCATCCCCACGGACAAGGTCAAAAAGGGCTCGCAGGCCGCACTCGGGCGGCACAGCCCCAGTCCGCCCTCCATGTCCCGTCCCCCCTCCCGGCGGCCTCTCCTCAGGCCGCGCAGGGAGACCGGTTACCTGGGCCCGCCGGGACGAGGGGTGGCGACGGCGGCGGCAGCAGGCCCGACCTCACCGGCACCGTGGGGAGCCGCCGCGTCGCCCGGAGGCGTCTGGCAGTTGCCGTACAACCGCAGGGCCCGTCCGCGGCCCGTCGCCATGGCCAGCTCCGCCAGGGGACAGCGGCTTCGCGCCCGGCGCGGGGAGGGACGGAAGAAGGGAGAGAGGGAGGAGGCGGTGCCGCCTCCCACCTGGCAGCGCTGCCTGGGGAGAGCCGGCGGGCACCTGCGGCAGGAGCTTCCCGAAGGAATTCGCCTTCGCCCCTAATAGGGAGTTTTATTTTTAACGGGAGAGAAGGGACCCCGGCTCCCCTGAGAGGTGCCAGCCGGTGGGGCGGCAGCGACCCGGCGCCGCGGGGGATGGCCGGGCGCCGCACCTTGCCGTGCCCGCCGCGGCGCCGCCTTCCCCAGCCGTGCGGTGCGGGGGACACGGAAAGCGACAGCACACACCGCGGGGAACGGCGGCGGCTCCCGCCCTGAGACCCTGTCGGGAGCTGCCACAGAACGTCCCCGCCAGCCTCGCGGGACGCCTGAAAATCTGAAAATTTAAAAAGAGAAAAAGGAAAACAATTAAACCGCAGCTCAACAGGAGCCACCGGGCCGGCAGGCGCTGGGCGCCGCGGGCAGACACACCCCCCTCCCTGGCCGTTTAACGGGCGGCGGGTCCCGCCCTCCCCAGGGGCGGGAGGTGTCTGTGGCGGCGCTCGGCATGGCGGTCGCTGTAGTGATCTGGCGGGGCGCCGTTCCCAGCGGCGGGCGGAAGAGGGAGCCCGGTCAAACTACCGCTCCCAGGGCCGCCCGCCGCCGCTTCCCCTCCGCCCCCGGGAGTTCCGCCGGGGCGATGTTGAGGGGCGGCCGTCGGCGGGCAAAGGGTAATGGGCGCCCCTGAGCTGGGGCACCGGCCGCGGAGCCACGCTCGGGGCGGGAGGCTGCCCTGACGCTTCCCCGAGGGGTGCGGACTCTCCGCGCAGCTCCGCTGCCTCCGCCGTAGCTCGGTGAGGGCGGCTGGGAGCCGTGCCCCCGGCATGCTGCCCGCCTCCCTGGGGCGGGCGGGGCAGGGCGGCGGGCGGCTGCGGGCCTCCCTGGGGAGGTGGCTGCTCGCCCCCCCGGGCTGGGGCCTGCAGGGGCCGGGGCTCTGCCTCAGGTGGCGGCCCCAGCTCGCCCCGCCGCTGCGGGCCGCCCGGCAGAGCATCGGGACGCAAGGCGGGGCGCGGAGAGCGGAGAAACCCGGCGGGGACAGCAAAGACGTGTCGGTGCGAAGCGGGCGGAGAGAGGAGACGGTGGTGTCGGCTGCGCAGAAAGGTGAGGCGGGCGGTGGCCGCTCGGGAGCGGGGGTGCCGGGCACTGCTCAAAGGGGACGGCGGGGAGAAAATCCCGGGGACTTTATACCCCCAAAAATGTGCATTAAAGAAAAAAAAAACAAAACAGTTTTCGGAAAAAAACACAACTCCTCCTCTTTTCCCATCATATAGTTCGCAGCTGGTACATCTCCGTGTATGTATTGCACAAAGCAGAACAGAAATCGTGTGGCTCTCCCCTGACAGCTTGTTGATGTGGTGCGTGGGTCACATCAGGGATCAGGTAGAGCCCCTCGTTTCCCTTTTCACAAGGAGAACTTACCACACTCAACCTGTCTCGATGCCGTCAAAACAAGTTTACTTCCAGCAAGTTTGTCGAAGCTCTGCACGTGGTACTAGTTTCCTCCTGGGATGGCTGTCACATCCATTGCTCTCGTTGATTTCAGTGAAAAGTAATCAGCCTCAGAAATTCTAAGTGCTTTGATTAGGAGGCTGCAGGAAAAATGGTGATTAAAGTTTCTTCGGTAACTTGTACTTCACTGAAAGGCACACCTTATCACTTGGACAAGTCAGCAGCCTCTTTGCAAGTTCTCAAAAATACTTTGTAGCAGAGAATCTCACATCACTTTTTTTGGCTGTGTGTACCGATGCTTGTACTTAACATCAAAACAAATAGGTAAAAACTAATCCGATAAACTGCAATTGGCAATCTCAATCAAATACATATTTTGGTCTAATAGCATTCCTTTTTTATTGTTTGATTGAGAATTCATAAAATCAGTTATATTCCATGTATACAATTTATGAGCTCATGGGGTTTTTTTTATTTTTATGTTTCCCTTTCTTTCAATAAGGATTGCAATGATTGTGGGTTTACTATGGTAGCTTGAATACTGCAGTGCTAAATACCTCGTTACTTCTTAAAGAAACTAGCTCTTATGCTACATGAAAAGTAAAAATAAGTGCTCTTCTGGGTCTTGAAAACACCTAGTAGGAAAATAGAAAGTAATAAGGCTTAATAGAGAGATTTAAATATGCCCTGCATAGCATGAGAGATATTCCATGGTCTTTCTTTTAGTGATGAGGCATTATGGAAGCTGTTACTGGAATTTTTTCTTCTGCCAAAATGTTATTTGAGCTGTAGACAAATACAAAAGCATTTATATAAGAAAGCTCTGAAAGTCTTAACTATCTGAGGTTGTAACTCCTGCATTGTTTTCTGTCTATTTCAGTGAAAGAAGCTGGAAGAGACTTTACCTACTTTATTGTGGTGCTTGTTGGAATTGGTGTTACAGGTTATTTTTAAAAATTTTATTCTCTATCAGAAGCCACTTTTCATTAATTCCATCTAGTTTGATTGGTTTTCATTCCATTTGCTGTTTTTTCTGTTACAGGTGGTTTGTTCTATGTGATTTTTAAAGAACTATTCTCTTCTTCTAGTCCAAGTAAGATCTATGGAGATGCCTTGGAGAAATGCAGATCTCACCCTGAGGTGGGTTTTTGAAGCTTAGCCATGAGTTTATGTTTCTCAGTAGTTAGGGTCTCTCCCCGAGTCAAAGTTTGCAGAAGGACTCTCACAAGCAAAGCTCTGGGAAGACCCACATGGTGCTTAGCAGGCAAACATCAGCAGATTTGCTGATACTTTGAACGGGACAGAGGTGGGTCAGCTCCAATTTGGAGCCTATATTAGGACAAGTTAATGCAAGCACTGAGCCTGAATAAATTAGCTTCCTAAAAACCAAGTTAAGTGAGTGTACCACAGCACAACGACACTGCAGTGTCTGCCCCGTCAGAGTGTGTGCTTGTGTCTCTGTACAGAAAGTACTCCTGAGTACTTTCTAGGTACTCCTGAGTGCCTACTAAGCATAGTACTTAAGAACTTCTGCAGTTCAGGGAGGCAACTGGTCCCACTTAAGCTTTGTAGATCTAGCCTGGCTGCCGTTCCTTGGCAGAGTTATTCTGTTCTGATACTCCTGTAGGGTTCTGTCATTTTGCAAAGCACTGCGTATGTATCCAGGAGTTTAAACTCTGCATTTGAAACACGGTTAGCATTCCTGTGGCTAAGAGGAAAAGAGGAAGAGAACAGTCACGTGATCACACAGTCACATAAGATAGCTAGATGTAAACAACAGTAAATCTAAAACTACATTGTAAAAGCCACTACTTCAGACAAAGCAAGAAATGCATGGAATAGCTTTCAAACAAGGTTGCCACCGATGCCACTGAGGATAACCTAGAAATGAAGTGACAAGTTGTCACTAGAATAAAACTGAAGATTGCTGTGGAGCAAGTTTGTAGAATTAAAACCTCTCCAGTACTTACACAGTTTAGAACTAGATTAATTTGGTCTGGCATTACAGATCTGGAAAAAAAAAATGAATTATTTTTTAAGTGGTAGTGTTTTTTAGATAATGTGAAGGGGAGTGCATTTGCATTTTAAACTTTGAAACATTCTGTTGGAGGAGATATGAGTGAGTGTGTAATGCTTCTTTCCCTTTACACAACATGTCAGTAAAGTATAAAATACACAGTAAGAAGAGAGATTAAAATGTCATCATTCAGAGGATGGTACAAATGGAAGACACTAGTAGGATGTATTTTAGATGTTTAATATGTGACTGTAAAGAAAAGCACTGAAATACAGAGGAATTTTCCTTACACTGTTTTCTTTCATAAACTTTTTTATTCTTGACATATCAGACTTACAAGGGGCATTTAGTTGAAAGAAAACACATTCACAGCAGGGGCGTGAGCTAATACTGGAATATCTGTTTGACTGTGATACCTTCTGACAGCTCAAACCTCTTTTCTCTTGTAGATAATTGCTGTTTTTGGTGAATCTATTAAAGGTTATGGGGAGGCAACAAGAAGAGGAAGACGACAGTTTGTCAGGTACCCTTTGGTGTTTGCCCCATACAGACACTAGTTTTTGCAGAGTAAAAACATTTTGGGTCACATCATAGCAAGTTGGTTCTAGATTAATGAACTGTATGTGGCATACCCTGTCACTTCTGAGTGAAAATGAAAGCAGTGTTTTCTAATACCTTTTGTGTGGCACATACCACGAAATACAGTTCACATGCAATATAAAACAGCAATTCTGAGTGTCTCAAGACAAGCAATGATCAGCGCAGTAAACGTAGAGCTGGTCTCTGCAGAAAAATAGGACAAGTCTGAAGAGACAGGCATCTGTGCAGCAGGGATCTGACTGGAGTGTACAGTCTGAAACCCTCAAATAGAGTGACGTTCTCTCTGTAAAATTGTTTTTGAGGATTTTTTCTCTTTTAAAAGCAGTAGTCTTTATCAAGCCAGAAAGAGCAGGAGGTATTAACTTTCAGATTTTCAAGAATCCATCTTGCTCAGTTCTTCTCTAAAGAAGAAGTTAAAATTGGAAGTTTAACTAGCGTATAATATGTATCCTTGCTGTGTGGGTTGAGCTTTTGTTCTGTTTTGCTGTTTTCAGTCACATTGAATACGTAAAGGATGGACTGAAATATATGCGTTTGAAGTTCTACATTGAGGGCTATGAATCAGGGAAGCAGGGAACTGTCCATGTGGAAGTCAAAGAGGTATGTATAATGGCTTGATAGAGCTGATAAGCTTAATCTTGAATTTAAACTGTCAAGGAGAAAAAAAAACAGAGCCTTAAATTGTTTTCCTTACAGAATCCTGAGAAAGGAAGATTTGAGGTCCGCTACATATTTGTGGATGTTGACACCTATCCTAGAAGAACCATTGTTGTAGAAGACAACAGATAGCCAACAAAGTTGCCACCTCATCTCATTGGGTATCGGATGATACTGGTATAGCCAGTCCACACATGAACTATTTGGTGTCCTCGATTGTATCTTGCAGCTTTGGGGTTGTGTTGCGGGACACAGCCTTTCAGGGCCTCCATTAAGGTCTTCTGTAATAACGGGTACGGGATTTGAAGTGAAGCCAATGAAAAATAGTAGAGCCATCACTTATGGCAAATACTTTTGACATAGGAAAATAATGGCTCATAATAAACAGTTTAATGCTGGATAATACTTCTTCACACCCAAAAGCTGAGTCTTCCAAGACTTCAGGTTTGGATGGGGAGCTTTTTGTCTTCCTTTGCTTGGATTTCCTACTAGCACTGCAATAAAGAAAGTGGTATTTTAAGTGCAGAGAACCTCAGTGTTTTCATTCTGGACACCTTTGTGTAGATAAGAAGGTAAAATAAGAATGTATGTTAGTGACGCAAACGTGATCTAGCCCAGAGACTGTAAGAATATGAATTGTGGAGACACAGATTCTTGGCAAATGACCGAAGAGAAGGACTTAAATATTCATATCTTCTAAATAGATCAACATCACACAGGACAGCGTAGTCTGCTCCCTCCAGTGTTTACCATGCTGCTCCACTGACCAATGACAGTGTTGTAGCTGCTCAGCACTGCCCACAGTTTTTCCATTAACTTAACTAATGTAAATCTTCTGGGAATCGGATTCATGTAAGTTTACCCAAACTGAAAAGCTCAACACATGAGCAAGTTTCTCACCTGGGTTTCTTCCTTAGTGTGACATGGCTGATAGCAGGCATGACCCTGTGTATCAATCATCAGACTTGGTTGTGCCCATCTGTCAAGCAGCGCCAACCAAAAAATTTCAAGCTTTAGCTTCTTATTTTTAACCTCTTTCTTAAACACCAACAAATGCATTTTTCTTTAGCTCCCTGAGCTTTTTAGTTCACTATTGAATTGTCCTTCCACTAAGCATACACTGATGTTCAGTTATCTGTCCTTATTGTGAGTTCCTTTAATGGTACATTTGTCCTAAAGTTCATGCAATGTTCCCTCATAGAGTGTGACAAATATCATATATAGACCTGTAGCAATACTTTACTGGATTTTAGCCATCCTGTCCATCTGTCTCCCAGTAATCTCATTTGCATAATCATAACAACTAAACATAATACTTCGTTAAATCTGAATAACTTTGCTTTATATTAAGCCCTACTTCAGTAGATTAATTAAACCTTGACTTCAGTCAGATCCTCGTATTAGAAAGTATTCAATGAAGAGGAGTCACACATTCATGCATGTTTGAGCAGAGCAGCCACCAATGTCCATCTGTGTTAAACTGCAGGGCATTTTGGAGTTTCTACACTGTATACAGTATAACTGACTTCTGCTGTGCAGATCAAAGGGATACTTACAGAACTTTGAACAGCAGTTCAGACTGACTAAAGCGATATCATAACCATTAGTTTCATCAGAGTTGTAAATTTGTCTGCTTTCTTGCATCCCTCAATGGATGCTTGTCAAGACTAACAAGCCCACAATTTTACACATAGTCAAAATCTATGGAAGTCTGTGTTGGTGAGTACCTATTGTGAGTATGAGAAGTTGTAGTGCTTGATATGTCGCCATGAAGTAACTTTGATAAATTTTAATTTTTACATACTGTTATTGACATCATTCATGTCCATCTGGAAAGGCGTCTTAAAATAACGAAAGGCATTGACTCCCGTTGTTCTTCATGTTATTTTCTTGAAAAGTGGTAGAGTCATAGAATCATAGAATGGTTTGGGTTGGAAGGGACCTTGAAGATCATTGAGTTCCAACCCCCCTGCCATGGGCAGGGACACCTCCCACTAGACCAGGTTGCTCAAAGCCCCATCCAGCCTGGCCTTGAACACCTCCAGAGATAGGGCATCCACAACTTCAGTAGCACCTTTTGAATTATGACTTCCTGATCCTTAGCATTGCACTTACCAAAACTTCTGTATCAGAAGAAATTTTCAAAGCAGCCTAATTGATCTCTAATCCAGTAAATAAAAGAGGAAAATAACTGAGGCTCATTGTTTCATTGCAACCTGCTGCACTACTGACTGATAGCATTACACATGGCATTTACCTGTCACTTATGTCCAGTTGCTGTAAGCATGTGCCATACCAGTGCGTTTTCTGAAAACTACCTGACAAAAAGCAAGAGTTTAGTGACAAATGCAAGATGGAGCGGGTTTGTCAGAACACATCAGAAATAGTGTAAGCTATATAAGTTTATAATCTAATACTAAGATGACTAGCCTTAAGGCCATACTATACCTTGATAAAAATGTAATCATCTTTTACAAAGCAAGACTATATAAAAATACACAGTTTAAACTAAAATGTAATACTATTTTTGCCCTACCTTTATGAGTTTCTACTGTATCAAGCTGCCCGAAAGCCATTGTAAACTGCCATGTCAATGACAGAAGTGACAGCCTGTGTTTTTTTCCTGTAAGTCTGGGTCCCAGCTTTGCTTTCTTATTAACCCAGCTGTGGCATGTTTTCAGCGGGCTTCACTGCTGGAGAAGGACGTACTTCCTAAAGCAAGGTATGAAACCCATTTATTTATAGTGAAGGGTATAGTTGCAGCAAAGATGGCCCAGCCGATAGGTTTACTTCTGTCTTGTTTTAGAGCCTTGTTTGCACTGAAGATACTGTCAGGACTAGAAACTTTCTGGGAAGGAAAAGATGCTGACCTCGCACGATGTTTTTCCAACAGTACAGGTACATGAAATTCTACATCAGGCTTGTGGTAAAAGACCAAGAATTGGCTGTTGCAGTTAATGTGTGTGTTTGGCTTCAGCTTGAGAAAACAGACTAAGAATTCGGTTATTTGAAATCAGGTTTATTTGCAGGTTTTTTCAGTAGCAAGGACTTCCTAGCATACATACAAGTACAGTGTACTTCAAGGGGTTTGTGAAAGAACTGTCTGTCTGGAAATCGGCTACAATTACAGGTGTCAGAAGAAGTCTTGGCAAAGTCAACAAATGATTCTGTCTGGTCCTTTGGCAACCAGTGCAGACCTGTATGAGAAAAATGGAGACAGACCATAACTAGCAGTAAGGAAGAGACAGGAGTATGATTTAGATGACACAAGTGGATATGGAGTTGTCCACAGTGCAAGGGACCTTCCTTCGCAATTCCTTCATGCTGCTATGGGTGTCTGAATGCAAAGTATGAGCCTCTGGTTTATTCACTGCATTTCAAGGAACAGGAGAATCCAGAGAAACAAGTCAGGGGATTACTTTCAAGCTTATTTTTGGTTAGGGTAGCCCCAATATGACAGGGTTATAACTAAAATGTTTCTCATCCTGCATTTGCATCGAGTGCACTGTTGTCATTCTCACAATTCATTTTCCTGCTGTGCAGTTGCAGGGCAGCAGGTGGGTGAGCACACTTGCTCAAAGCGGCAGGACACACGGCTGTAGTGGCACCCTCCATACCCTTCATAAGAAACAAAACATCTCACGAGCCGGAAAGAAGCTGCAGTGGAAATGTATACCCTATATAAATCATCTTTGTGTATCATCCTGCTTTGTTAATAGTAGAACACTAGAGAGACAGGATAACAGTTTGCCTCTAAAAAGTGGAAAAATAAAATCACCATTATAAATGTAAAATTGTAATTTTCTCCAAGGAACTTCTAATTCCTCTTTCCTAACTAAAGTTTAACCCAGTTTTATTTTGTTGGAGTGCAAGGAACATAGCAAGTCAGTCAGCGTCCCCTCTGGTGGACGCTTATCAATATACATGATAAAATGAAGGCAAAATAAATGAAGCAGCAGAAGAAAACCACCTTTACCTGGGCTCAGATACATTAGCGTTCTTAATTTGGAGAAATGACAAATACAAGGCTCAAATGCTTTCAAATCTCACTAGAGGAAAGCTTTTGGGAATCCTTTTCCTAGAAAAATCTCCTCAGTGAAGAAAAAAAATGGAGCTTCATAGCTTGATTTATAGTCCTTCTCCTAGCTAGGTACTTCTCACCAGCAAGATTATTTAAGCCCCATGAGATTTCAAGGGTATTAAAGTTCTATATGTATGTAGTTTGGCTGCAGAAAAATAAGTTAAACGGCCCTTGCTAACACAGAAGTCGTGTGGGAACTAGTTACTTCTTTCTGTTTGTTCCCCCTCAAGTTGGGATCCGTGTTTAAAAAATTATTTTCTCAAATGGTGTTTGAAGCAAGCAAGCAAATGTAAGGGTACACCTTCATCAAAATTAGATGAAGAAGATTAGTCCAGCAAGACATGCGGTTTAGAGAACATGGATGTCTTCTGCAGTACCACTTTACCTGGGGGTACTTTTGCACTGGAGGAGAACAGCTGCGTTCACCGAGTTTAAACACAATGTTTTAGAACACCCTGTGGTAATTGTGAAGGCTGTTGGCCTAGATTGTTGCTTAAAAAGTCGTCCCCACTCCACTGGATCATTGCGCCGTGCAGGGCTCCTTCTGCCCGGCCAGCAGCGCAGAGTGCTCTGTCCTCTCGCTGGATGATGCTTGGCTGGGGAGAAAGCAAAGTCACTGGAAGGCTCAGTTTCACCTTTTGGTAAATTCATGCAATTTGTAAGCAATTCAGTGTTTCCTTTTCCAAGCTGCTTTTCCCTTTTCTCTGGGAAAGCACAAAATTATAGCGTATGCTACACTTTCCGCTGTAAAACTGTCATGTTATCGTTAACTAAAGCTGTGGAAAAAAATAACCGCCAGGAAGTCAGAGCTAAAACAATGACATTTTCATGGAAATTAAACACATTTTCCAGAGTTAAGTCTTGATCATTGCAGAATTAATATATATATATATATGCTCTGATCTCCTTTACGAAATGAAAAAACGTCATTCCCCAGTGAAATGCTGTTTTTCCAGAACCATTGTATGGCAGACTACTCAAAATGTATTTGAGGCAAGTGTGCAACTCGGTCTTAACTTTCCCGTCTCTGCCTTAATTTTCGTGGATGCCAAAACTTGTGTATACTATAGGCTGCCAACATCCTTAGAATTGGTTTGTGGGAATAATAATGTTATTCTGTCATCTACATGACCTCTCTTTGAGTCTAGATCCTGTGTATACTTGCTGTATCGTGACAAAAAGAAATATACCTTCAGGAAATTAATTTTGTGAAAACTTTAAAATATCAAAAAATGACTGCTTTTTTACTAAGCTTCAGTAAACAGAAGGTCATGCAAAGGAAATAGGATTTTAGACTGGAAAAGAAAAATGTTGTTGTGCATGACTGATTGAGTTTAAAAATGACCTTGATACATAAGTAATTGCAGCATGGAAATCAAGTTTCAACAGCCGATTTAGGCAATGGAATCATGCTCTTGGGAATGGTTGCAAAAAAATGCATGTCTGATACAAGAAACTTCAACAAACTCACCTAACAAGCAGAGAAGACAGGAATGCGAATAAGACAATTATTGTATCACATGCCAACTGCAGAAATAAAAAGACAAAGAAGATGTGCTGGGGATTTTCACAACTAATTTCAATTCACTTTGTTCTCAGCCTCATCTTACTATGACAAGGGATGACATCCATCCTAATACTCATGAGATTATTCCAATGTGTAAATTGTCAGCAACCTAATCTGCTAAAGATTAGATCCAAAAAACATTGGGGGCACATTTTGAGTCAAAGCCCACTTTTAGGATTCATTACAGCCTGCAAACTGATTGGAATACATAAGGAAATCATTAAGATTTTAACAAAATAAAAAAAATTAAAAGATAAAAAGTTTCAAGGAGCAGGCTTAAACATGAAAGTAAGGACTCATAACTGGCCTCTGTATATGGGGTTGTGAAGTCTGAAGATCTAGACTATAGTTGGCACTGGAAAAACAGAAATATTTGAAAGTAAAAAGATGTATCCCCTATTTTTATTTTTTTTTAGGGGGACTGGGGGGGGAAGGCTTAGTCCCCAGAGAGATGTTCACTTGCTCAGAATAGAGAATAATAAAACTACAGTGCACATTCTCCTTAGGCAGCTGGGAATATGTATCATTATGATATACTATACCAAGGATTATGAAACTATGATTCCAAACTGTAGTGTAAATAACTGAACAGCAGAAATATTTGATAGTTTTTCTTAGTAAATTCTCAGGGGTTTTTTATGCTGTTTGGCTTACGTAAAATAATCTATAAGAATTGTAAAAGAATGTGAATTAATACCATCCTACATACAAATTCAATGTATTTATATGTTCTTAATAATGATACATAGTTAAAAGTTAAAAATCTAGCAAAAATATTTTGTAAGTAAAGGAAAGAAAAGGAAAAAGAAATTTTAAAACCTTGTTTGGAAGTCTTGTGGTTGTCCTGGGAGGAATACATTTGATTCCCTTCATCTCATATGGGTCATCAAGGGCCATTAGTAACTCAAATAAAAGAAATACGCATAGATACCTGTTTAGGTAAAGCAGCCTGGAAAGCCTCTTTGCCTCTCACTGTTCAGTATCAAGCTACTGCATTTCATTTTGAATATCCACATAAAAAATAATAACAATTATGGAAAAAACTTAGTACGTAAGCTTATAATCATCTCATATGGGTCATCAAGGGCCATTAGTAACTCAAATAAAAGAAATACGCATAGATACCTGTTTAGGTAAAGCAGCAGTTCAGCCTGGAAAGCCTCTTTGCCTCTCACTGTTCAGTATCAAGCTACTGCATTTCATTTTGAATATCCACATAAAAAATAATAACAATTATGGAAAAAACTTAGTACGTAAGCTTATAATTATCTACATAAAGGAGATCTAAAATAACTTTATACAGTATGTCTAAAAGAAAGTATCAGGGATTTTAAACTAATGGAAAGTGTCAGGTTCAGTTGCCATATATGGCAAGTACAAATATTTACCTATCTATATAAAGGTTTGCTGCATATGCTTTGGTGCAGGCTTTTGCCTGAGGTGGTGGTGTGGGGAGAGCATACATACCCTTGTCCCTCTGGCTGGGGGTGGGATGCTCTCATCTTCTCCAGCCCAGAGCTGGACTGTGGCAGGTTAGCCTTGGCCAGCACCCAAGCTCCCACCCAGCTGCTCCCCACCACAGCGGGATGGGTGTGAAAATGGGGAGCAGCCGGAATGAGACATCTTGGGGTTTGGGATGAAAGCAGGGAGATCGCTTGCCAATTACAGTCGCCAGCAAAACAGACTTCAAAATTAACTCAATTTATTGCCTGTTATTGCTGTTGTTCCCCGTGTTGCCACATGGCATGGCAGCATGGGCAAACTTCCACGGTGGCGGAACACCCAGGGGATCTGATGGCCATGGTGTCTCTACTTCCACACCATATATGTGTCTGCATCTGCATCTTAAAACCTCCCAGTTGTCTGCTGGGTAACCTTTCCAGGATAATCGTGTTTATCCAACCTCCATTTAATTACAATTCCTCTTTATCTGAATCAAATTATGTTCTCTAGCATGAGCTGCCTTCTTGTACTACTCCCCACAATTAACTCTATTGACCTTCATTTATCCAAGCACATTTTCACTTTTTATAGGAACAGTGTTGTTTTGCATTTTTGATCCTAATTCTTTTTTTCCACTAAAAACATAACAATCTCAGCCGTAACAATGTCTTACTACAGGTGTTTTATACGCATACTAAATAAGGTGGCTGTATTCCCTGAGATCCGATTTGCTTCATTAGCTCTATCACATCCAAAGAGGAGCTGAAGGGAATTGCTATTTTGTGTGCCGCCCGGGGCCGTGCATTACCCTGTGTTTAATAACACAAAGCCAAAACCTGGTGGCAGAGCACAGATTTGCAGAATGCCACCAATTGCTTTTCGGCGTGATACCTGGGGAGGTCCAGGAACTCTCTCCTCCTCTGGGTGGCTGCAAAGTCACCCTATTCAGGTACGTGACACTGGTAAGGATAACAGTGGTTGAGAAAAATAGCTGAGACATCTCAAGATTTAAAACAGAAAGCAGCTTTCTATCAACTGTCTTAAGCATAAAAGCCACAACTATTTTTCCCTGAAAACACCCGTAAAAGTTGTCCTACTTTACTAATTTTTTATACTCTTCACACTTCTTTTCCCTGAATTTCTCTTTTAACACGTTTCTCTTTGGGGAGTCCCGCCAGCTTCTACATATATTTCTATTTTCCTTCAAAATATTACGCCTAACTTCCATGTCTGCATTTCTCTTCTTTACCTATATTTAATCTAGCAGAATGAAAGCTGAAGAAGAAATATTACCCCTTCAGTTTCCAAGGTTTCTAGAGCTGGCAGCTTTTCTCCTGTGGCTTTCTCCAACTTTTCGACTTACTTAAAAGGTGGTATGAAGTCAATGTCTGCAGCCTGTAATTCAGCATCATCTGGGTGATAAACAACCTTATATCTACCAAATATTTTACCATAATTTAAGGTAAATAAAGTGAAATTATCTCAGGGAAATAATTTTAATTTTATTAAGTGCCTGTCTTGTACATGAAACAGTGTCAGTACAACAGTCAATGTGTTGCCTATGAAAATCTAGAGGTACGATTATATCAATATACCATATGATACATGATGGTTTATATCCAAAATAAAAGTGAAGGAATTCAACCCTGGCCCACCAAATACTGAACAATTAATCCCAAAGGACAATGTCATTCAAACTGGCCCTCTGCTACATTCTGCCATTATTTGCATTTTAATGTGGCACTGATAATTTTAGTGCTGATAATGAAGGGCCAAAGTATCCAGCAACCCAAGCTTGGACCATTCCTGGACATCCCACACCCTTGCACTGCAATTCACGTCTGGTTTTAGGGAAAAGCTCTTTGGACTTGAAAAAGAACATGAAAAGAAGCAGTTCGCTTTTAAGCTCAGATTGGAAAAAACAGAGCAAACAAAAAGGTTTTTTGCATAACAGAACTAAACTCATCACTCAAGGACAGCATGAACTTCTTTATGCAGATAAAGAATAAAAGACATTTCTCTGAGCTGGATGCAGCTTTCTTGTCGTGTGAACAGGAGCCACAGCACCGTGTGCCATGGGTGGGAGCTCACACGTTGCTCCGTGATATAACGGGCTGCGTGAATAATAGCAATTAGAAGTCATTGAACTGCCACCTACTGTAAATGACAATGCTGCAATTTACAGAATGTGATCTGGAAAATCGTTTTAAGTCTAACCATCACACGGTACTGCAGGGTTTTCTTTTTACCCCTTGATAGCTTAACCCCTCAGAAAGGTCTCTGTCATGATCCTGGCATGTTAGTGCTGGGGAGAAGAAGGCAAGGCTGGAGCACAGCTCCTCATCTCCCGGCACAGGGACAGGGTGCAAAGCCTGTGAGCATGGTCCCCTATGAGCACAACAGCCCTAAGTGAGAGGGAGGGGGCAAAAGCAGGTCTGAAAACAAGACCCAGCTGAACACGGGGATGTTATCTTACACTGCAAGTCATCTAACGGGTAGACTGGTCAAGAGTTTGCTCCCTCAGCTGACATTTGGAGGATATTGTGAAACACTTGCCAAGGGAAATTTGCAGGTTTGTGTCTCAGACGTTCATCTCATAGACATTAATCTACAGCTGCTTCAGCTCCAGGATTATGCAGATGATCCCTGTTCAGGAACTGCTGCCTCTCCTGACAGCCCGTCCCCCCAAACTAACCAGCACATGGCAGCTAACAGCTGAGGAACAATCCACACACTCAAATGTGGTGGCAATGAGCAAATTATTTGTAAAAGTGAACAAATATATGAGAAAAATGAAGCATTAATATTTCCATCTGAAACTCACAAGCAGGACAGCAATAATTGATTAATATCTCTTCACTGTAAATAGCAGGTCCAACCACATCATACCTGGATCTCAGTGATCATTTGCTTAAAAGGGGGTGGAAGTAAGTGGGAACACTTATGACTTCAAATATCATTTTAGCAACACTTGAAAGTTTTACATGTTTTCATGCCTGTGCACATTAATTAAGCTTTCTAGGAGTTCTCATAATAGATTCTCACTGATCACTGAAAAAAGCCACGAAGTTCAGAGCAGATCTTGATTCTTCTCAGAAGACAAAAGTAACAGATGCTACAGAAAGGGCTGAGCTCCTAATACCAAACAGGGAACTTTATCAGGAGACCACAAATAATACTACCGTAAGCCCGTTCATCGTTCTTTTCAACTATCTACAACATTCCCTCTACAATCTTTCCAGATTTCAAGGAGCAGTAACTACCATCAGTAAATCCGGATTTATCTGCAAAGAATGCACACTCCGCCAGCTTTGCCATAATTTGTAGTTTAGCACCACCTTCCTAGACACCAAAGAATGACAGCTTTGCACTGCCATAGCTTCTGCCTTGAAGCAAAAAAAAAAAAAAGCAAGTACAATGAAAGGTGGTTATTTTCTGATCTGTTTTAATTCCTAGATATTTTTAGAAATGACATGGAGTTCCCCATCCTCAGCAATTTTTAGACCTCAGCAGTTTTTAGAAACTACTCCACTGGTGTTCCCTGCAGCACTTCAGTTATGATAGGTCTACCAATAGCTGTGGATCTGTGATATCATGGTTTCAAGGCCCACTTCCAAGTCATGAAAACTGAAGTTTCTAATGCAAACTGTAGTTTATGCTGAATATGGCGTATTTTAGTATTAAAAAGAAGATTATGAGTGCTTGATCTGAACACGGTACATTTGCTCACTGTTCTAGGCAATAAGTTTCAACCCATTTTCTAAACTTCATCATAAACAGCTGTTATGAAAAGAGTTTCAAAGAACCCTTGAAAAACAAATGAAAATGCCAACTGTCCTTGGCAGCCTCATAGTTCACTATATAAATATTTTCTTCCACAATCCAAGGAGATGTTAAGAAAAACAATAAAGATGAAAGACATAGAGGTAACTGACCTACAGTAGTAAAAAAGACAAGCCCATACCTCAATGAAAATACAAGTGAAGCATCTAGATTTTATTTTAATGTGCTCTTCAGGTTTCCCCTTCTGCTAGTTTCCCAGCATGCCCTCACTTGCATGGGGCATGTCCAGGATAAGCCAACCAAGAATAAGCTTAATCACAAAATTACCTTACACTCACCCTCTGCAAAACCTCCTTCTGGGCTGAGCTCCTTATCTCGTGACCCAGAAGCTGCATATACCCCCCATGACATGACCTGTTTTACAAAAAACTCACATGTTGATGCTTCAAAAGAGGACAGAGGTCTGTTTACTGTGTACTTTTGCTTGGCTTGGTGCTTCACTTCAGCACTCTACAGAGACTCACAGGAGGTGCTCCCCAAGATGCGATCACAAAATTTTGGGTGACACGTGGTGGCAGTCCTGCCTGTGTTTCTCAGGACGGCCCGGTGGCTAAGGCACTCACTGCCATGGTGGGTGCTAAAGCTGCATCCCCTCTTAAGACTTTGCTTCCCTCTCT